AAAAAAAGCTATTAGTCAGATGGTCAGCGCCCTACCGCGTGGAGAGTCGAATTCGAAACTCTTACTATCTGGTAAATCTCGATGGTTCCCCGATACGGTACAAAGATGGTCGTGAAGCAGAGGGCACGTTTAGTTCCCGGCGGCTAAGACGTTTCATTCCCCGTCCCGGCACTAAGTTAGCAGAGCATGAGGAAGGCGTAGCGGAGACGGAGGACTTGGGTGATGTTATTGGCGATGTGGAGGAAGATGATGATACTAGCGAAGAGGAGGAGGATGAGTTGGGAGATGAGGAGGAGGTGAGCATGGTTGACATTGCGTGGATGTCGACGAGGGCGTCTCCTTGTTTTGGGGGGGCACATGGGCTAGGTAGCCCAGGCGGGGAAAGTCCCAAAGGAGAAGAAGACCAGGGGAAAGAGGCTGGAAGAGAGAGTAGATCGAGTCGGGTACAGAATGGTGCACCGATCCGGAAGTAGAAGTAGTGTTCATTTAGATGGTAGCACAGCCACAATCGTCTGCGTCTTCCCATCATCATCCCTCGCGTGTGGTCAGAGTCCCCTAGTCCACCGCGGCGGAGCTGCAGCGGGAGGCTGGCGGGGGCCCCGCCGAGGACTTTTTCGCAAATTTTAGTGTGACTCCTGTGACTTTTCGTCGATTTCGGATCGCCTGTGACCCGTGACCGACAAATTGATTAAAAGTCTACAGTAATATTATGCATATAAACTGTGTTATACATATGAATATGATCTAACAGAGCTGCAATAGGCTATAGAGATCATGTTTGCATTAGTTTAACCTCAGTTGGAGGTGATATGAGTACTGTACTATTACAACCGTAAGTTCACAAATATTTATTTTTTTCGACCTTCCCACGCCCGATAAGTGATCGGAGGCGATTTCCGGTATCCAATAAGGAGATAAGGCGGCCTTGTGACGTGTGACGTGAACTAACGGTCGTAATAGTACAGTAGGTTATGGCTCAAAACTCGTCAAAAACTCGCAAACTCGCGAGTTTTAGACCCGCGACTCGCAAGTTTGAGACAAGTCGCAAGTCCGGACTTCAGATATGCAAACTTGCGCAAACTCGACCCGCCGGACCCGGGTTTAGACTCGTGGCATGCTCTATGCAGTGACAGTGAAGCGCCAATCCTGGGCAGTGGGACCTGGATAATAAGCAGCTCGAGGAACCCTAGGTTTTGATACACCTCGGGTTTACTGCGGTTATTAACGGTATTGATACGGTATTGAAACTGTCGGGGGTCGGGAGGTAGGTTTCGATACCGGCACGTGATCATTTCACGTGATGGCGCACTGGTGTTCAGAGAAGCTGAGAGTGGCGGGACAAGGGCGGGATGAGGGCGGCGCACCGCTGCGCCACATCACGTGGTCACAATCACGTGCCAGTATCGACTGTTTCAAAACTAAGGCCTCCCGGGGGGTCGGTATCAATACCACCCCTCGGAGGTTTACTGCACCACCCTAGCGCAACCCTATCCGTTCCCTGTAGCGAAGAAAAAAGTTACTGGACAATACATTGCAGCTCTCTGACTGGGAGTCGAACCCAGCTTTCGCGCGCAAAGATGTATATCATCGTGTTTGGGTCATGACAGGCGCGTGTACTAACCGATATACTATCAGAGATGACTTATGGCCCTCCACGCATACTCATGATCGCCAAACACACACCACACATAATCATGGGCATTAAAGAAACATCGCTATCCAACTTGCGAGAATCACCGCTTCAAGCTCCTCCCCTTTGCCACATGCTCCAAAACAGCCTCCCTTTCCTTCTCCAGATCCACATCCTTCTTCACGTCTCTGAACAGGGCCTCCAAGTCCGACGGCTCAACCAAGTCTGGCTGGGCCTTGAGAGCGCTGATTTTCCCCGCGACAAACACGGCCTCGCGTTGTGCCTTCCACTCCTTCTCGCGACGTCCGCTTTCCTCCCTGCTCAGCGTACTAGGCACAAACTTGTGCGCGGGCGTCGTCTGATAGCGTATTTTCTCGAATTCGCGTTCAATGTCCTACACACCGTCATCATCACATGAAAAGGCAGGAGGAGAAAACACCAACCTTTTTCTCATACAACGGATACCTTTCACCCTCGCCCTCCCCGGCATACGCATCACTCTCATCCTCTAGCTGATTATAGCCAAAGATATCGGGCTCGGGCCCCATGTCGTCCCACTCTTGCTGGAGCGCCTCTCTGAGATCGTCGTCCAGGTCTTCTTGCTCATTCTCGAACTCGCGGCGCGCGCGGATGCGGTCGAGGCGGGCCTCCTCCCATTCTTCCCAGAAGGTGAAGAGCATGGTGATCTCGTCTTCGGACATGGAGGAGAGGGAGTCGATGGTGTACCCGGCGAGGGGGGAGCGGCTGGGGGGGACGATGTCCATGTCGGCGAGGAGGGATTGGCGGGGCTCGGAAGGGGTGGTGAGGTCTTGGATGACGGGGAGGGGTGCGGTGGGTGTGGTGGAGGATGCGGCGGCGAATTCGCGGGATGCTTTGAGGAGGTCGGCGAACACGCCTTGTGGTTCTTTTCTCTCCTCCTTCACTTCCTCCTCCACCGCCTCCTCCTGTTTTGTGGCTAGTTGCTTGAGTGTATGTTAGGACGTGTATCACAAAAGAACAGAATATACATACTTTGACAATCTTTTCAGGCAGCTGATCACAGTCGCGGACGGCATGGCCGTCAACGTCACAGCGACTACACTTTGTATTCAACGCGTGTATCGAAACACCCTCCGGAACAATCCTCTTCCCTTCATTTCCCAAAATACCTCCAGCCTCCAAGAGACGCGCGACACTCTTACTCGGAACAGCGCCCACCGAAAGCCAATACCTGATTCTATCGACGCTCCACCTGACTGTCCTTGCAGGGTTCTCTTTAACGTTGTAGGTATTTGGGGTGCGGCGTGTGGCGTCGGGGTGTATAGTAGCGGGGAGGCGCGGGTCGTAGATGCCGAGGAGCTCTGCGGGGGCGGCGTTGCGCGCGTGGCGGGCGTCGATGGCGACGAGGTGGAAGATGCGGTTGTTGCGCGTCCCGTGGAGGGCGAACCGCAGCCGGATGGGCATGACGGTGTTGAGCAAAAATGTAGGCGTGACAGGAGGTAACGCGACTTTCCGGCATTTTCCGGTACTGACTTGAGGCTTGTGCGAAGGATGACTTGTTGCTATTCGGGCTACTCAATTGTACACGTCGTTAGAGGTCATGTCTACCAGGCAGTGGCTCATCTTGAAGCCATTCAAGGTGCCGTCCTCTTCATAGTAATCCCGCACCTGTCCCATGATAGATTGGCCTCAATGCTGTATGTTGCTGAACAGTCAATGTCCAAGTCAATTGTGGCGCGTCTTGAAAGGACGAAGAGCGGCGATAGAGAGGTCGTAGTAGTTTGCAGGAAGACACGACGCGTATACAAATACCTCGCAATCGATTGGTTTGGCGAGCAGCTGACGTCGTGAGTACAGCGACCGAAAAATGTGCGAGAGGTTCCCACGAGTAGCAAGTCTAGAATTGGTGCAACGGAATACAGACGGGGCGCCGTCCGCGCATTGGTGTCAGTCAACGGTGCGCCATTCTCAGTCTGAAAATCCAGCGGAGACGCGTCGACGTCACAGCCAAATAGTCACCAACACTGAGGGCTATCCCGGGTGTTGTCTTGAGTCCCCCACCCGCCACGCCACAAGTAATGTATCGCGCCGCACAGGTTCACGCTGCTAAACTCGGTGCGTATCGTCCTGTCGCGTCTCGTGTTCTCGGCTAAATCCCACAATGCCAGCCGGACGCCGGACGTTCAGCCACACCGCTGCCCGCAGAAGCTACGAAGACACCATCTCCAACCTGCTCGTACATGCAGACACAAAGGTTCTCATCCAGGGCTTTACAGGAAAAACCGTGCGTAATCCTATCCTTCCTTGAATGCTCGCTTATTTTCTCCTAGGGCACATTCCACGCCTCGACCGCGCTCGCCTACGGAACCCGCATCGTCGGGGGCGTCTCACCCAAGAAAGCGGGCACCACCCACCTCGGCCTCCCCGTCTATGCCTCCGTGCGCGAAGCCGTCCGCGAAGCCCAGCCCGACGCCACCGTGCTCTACGTCCCGCCGCCCTCCGCTGCCGATGCCATCATAGAAGCCATTGAGAACGAGATAGGTTTGATTGTCGCTATCACTGAGGGCATCCCCCAGGCGGACGAGATCCGGGTGATGAACGCGCTCAAGAGCCAGAGCAAGAGTCGCCTTGTAGGTCCGAATTGTCCTGGCGTGATTAACCCCCGCGGGTGTAAGATGGGTATTATGCCTGGCCATATTCATATGCCTGGGAGTATTGGTGTGTCCTCCTACTCTTACTATCCCCCCCAAGCTAACAAGGTATACAGGAATCGTATCTCGGTCCGGAACACTCACCTACGAAGCCGTCGCGCAAACTACACAAGTCGGCTTGGGCCAGTCCCTCTGCGTCGGAATCGGCGGGGACCCCTTCCCGGGTACACAGCACCTCGACGTCGTAAAGGTCTTTTTGAACGACCCTAACACCAAAGGTCAGTTCTCCCCATTCTTCTTCTTCCCCTTCTCACACTCCTTAGGTATCGTACTCATCGGAGAAATCGGCGGCTCGATGGAAGAAGAAGCCGCTGAATACATTGCGGCTTACAACACCCAGAACAAGCCCGTCGTCGCGTTCATTGCCGGCCGCACTGCGCCCCCGGGGCGGCGGATGGGCCATGCGGGCGCGATTATCGCGGGGGGCAAGGGCGCCGCCAAGGACAAGGTGGCTGCCCTTGAAAAAGCGGGCGCGATTGTGACGGACAGCCCGGCCAAGATTGGGGATGCAATGCTGGCCGCGATGGCGGGCATCAACAAGTAGGGCATCTACTTGAGAATACACCCATTACAACGGTAACTTGAAGTTGGCTCGAGGATTTAGATAGATTTCATGTTATTGCTACGAGTGTGTTTGTGGGCAGAGTGATAAGGATTATTGAATCAAGCAAATGAGTATGTCTCTGATAGTATATCGGTTAGTACACGCGCCTGTCATGATGTATTCCCTGTACGTAGACGCGCGAAAGCTGGGTTCGACTCCCAGTCAGAGAGTCAAGGGTTGTTGCGGGGTAAATTTTTGTTTGTTCACAGTTCGTCGACAATGGAGTCCTAGGGTTGCGCAGTAAACCTCCGGGGGGGTTAGTAACAGTATTGATACTGACCCCCCGGGAGGCCCTGGTTTTGAAACCGTTAGTAACGGTTTCGTTACCGGCACGTGCTTTTACCATGTGATGTGGTGCACCGCTCCGCCCCCTCCGCCCGCCCTTATCCCGCCACTTTCTGCTTGCCTGAGTGCCAGCGCGCCATCACGTGGATATGTCACGTGTTGGTATCGAAACTGTACTGATACCTCGGCCGAGGTTTCGATACCGTATCAATACCGTTACTATCGTAAGCGAAGCTGGTGGCTTCTAGTCCCCGATTCTTAACAGTCATACCCATTGCCGTGTCTATGCTGTCCGCCTTGCACTGATGTTATTGCAATTTCCTATATGCACCACAATATTGCCATTTGGACTCATAATACAATGGAAAATCATCCGCCGTGTGTGGCGCACCATGCTCGGGTACGTCACATCCGTCAAGCAGTTGCCTCTTATGCACAGCTGCTTTGGCAAAGGAACGGTTCGTGCGAGCGGGTGTTCCATGATGAGCAAGGGCCGCTCACCTTGAGTCAAATAATCAGACCCACTATATAGATGCATGCAGATCCCGGACCAGCACAGAGTCATGAGTCATGATGCATGATGGCTTCAACGTGGTCAACAACGGGTACATATTGAAAGCAGATCTGCAAAGTTGTTCAATGAGTACCTTCGTCAGAACCACCCATTTCGCCATGGATCAGCACAAGTGAAGCCTCTAGTCAGAGTTGCCACAGGTGTAGGAGAGTACATCCAATGATCCATGACATCGTGCGGAGTGTTAAACCCCGGGTCCGGTGTACAGCCACAGACTGCGAAACGCAGGGGATAACGGCCTTCACGGCCTGGAAGATAACTAGTATGCGGGTCAAGACGGAGCAGAGACATTTAAAACACAATTTTTGACAGCAGCCCGCCACCAGCGCGAACATAATCCATCTCCACGTGACTGTAAGTGAAAAGAGAAACGGATCAAACCGGGTGGCCAAAAAAACGGGAATCTTTGCGGGGAAACGTAACATAGCGTTTCCACCAACCCTTTTCTTTCTCGAGAGAAAGAATCGGGGAACTGCAGTAAACCCGAGGTGTATAGAAACCTAGGGTTTACTTCACCACCCTATAGCTGCCTCAATGTTCACAGTTCGACATTACAGTACTACCGCAGTAAACTAGCGTGGCGCAGTACAGTTTGCAGTGCGATGATCGATCATTGATGTTTTGGGTCTGGCGGCACCAGTCCTGCTGCCTGCATCGCGTCTGACTAGTATTGGAAAATGATTGCTGGTTCTACTTTAGTTTTTAGTGCCACACCTGTAAAGATTAAGATCTACAGATTTGGAGGCCTCCCGGAAGCCATGATTTTCAACACACATCATCAATTACGGATATTCGCAACCTGAGCGGGGGCGGTGTGGCGTCGGGGTTGTGACCGACATGGCCGCCTGGCGAAATGGCATCGCGTCTGACTACGATGGTGTGATTAGGAGATTGCAGGTTCGAGACCTGCGGTGGTCAGTAGAGCTGGATCCATCTCTGGATCTCTATGAATGCATCTTCTTTTTAATGGTTGGAATATCAACTTGGCAAGGGAGAATCGCTGTGGCGTCCACGTTGTTGGCGAATCCCGCCCGGTCTGAGGGTTTTTACCGATTTGTCCGTGGTCCCAGCGAGCCTCGATACAAGTACAATCGGACAGAGATTATATGCCTTCATGGCTTCTGGGTCTATGAATATATCATGTAATTCTCAGTTTCACAACACTAGCTAAGGATGTACATTAAATGTTTGCCAGCGCGGTCCAAACCCTGACCAAACTAACATTCAGATGAAAGAGGTTTGTGTGGGAGGGTCCATAGTACGAAGGATAGTCTCATGTAGTTGTGGCCAACTCGAATCATCAGCTCTCTTAACTATGGACGTCATGCGCTCGATAGTTTTACGCGCCTATGGTTATGAGGTCGCGGAAATGCTGTTTTATCGCCCAGGCCATCGTTCGTATCTATCGCACGAGGGCTTGGCTTTAAGTGGTGGACAGGCCCAGGGGATATCGTAGCGCGTGTCGGAAGATCCAAGCTGAACATCACTAGGTTGTCTTAGGACGCGATGGCCTGAGAGCGCGTACTCTGACTCTTCTCGTAGCGTCGGTTTCTAGTTCTAGTGACACGGAAGAAATGTAGCGGAAGAATGTCTCTGAAAGTTTGATGTGGTTCGTGATCCACCGCATATAATGCGCGCCGAATAGAGAACCGCCATTTCACGTCTACCCAAAAAAAGAGACACAAAAACGCCATTGTTTCATATACACAAAGCCTACAACTTGGCCTGTCGGTTCCACTACACACAAAATCAATCAACGAAAAAGCACACTTGAAGAGAAACATACCCAAGGATACCACTCCCCCGCTTTGTCCAACACCCCCAACCCATCCGCCATCCTCGGCGCCCTCTTCTCCAAAAACGCCTTACCCGCCTCCCTTGCATCGCCCTCCTTGGACAACATACTCAGCGTCCGCGACTCCATCTCCACCACCTCCTCCAAGCTCCCCGACACAGGCGGATGCACCAACAAGCTTTTCGTCATCGCCACCGCCGTCTGACTCGTGTTTGCCGCGAGCTCCCGCGCGAACGCCAGCACGCTGGGGAACACGTCCTCCTTCTTGGGGATGATGGAGTGGTAGAGCCCCGCGAGGAGGGGCGAGCTGGGGGCGAGGACGGTGCCGGAGAGGAAGAGCGCTTTGGCGCGGGACATGCCGAGGAGGGAGGGGAGGAAGAATGAGGATAGGGCTGTTTTGTGTGCGTGTGAGTGAGGGAGGGAGGGAGAGATGAGGAGTACGGACCTTCTGGTGCGATCCCGCGGCGGACGAAGGGGAATGCGAGTTTTGCGCCCTCCCAGACGAAGCGAAAGTCGTAGGGGAGCTGCATGCCTGTCATGCCGACGCCAGCCTGTCGTGTGTCCGGGTTAGTGTTGAGAGAATCAGTCTGATGCTTCTAACCGCATGCCCGTTGACTGCAGCGATGGTGATCTTCCTGCAGTTGTATACCGCCAGGGACACATTCCCGCCGGGCTCTCTGGTCTCTGCCGTCCTCGTTGAGCTATGAACATGAGGGAGGTACTAGTACACACCATAAGGCGATCCTTTGCCTCCCAGGCCGCCCCATCCCGCGCTCAAGTCAGCCTACAAGATTCAATTCAATCTACTATGTTAGTTGAAGCGTGCACGAGAAACACGCACGCCAGAGCAATACGCGGGCGCATCAGGCGCCGCCGTAGTGATAACCACGCGCACACGGTCGTCCTCGTCCGCAAGCTGGAATACGCGCTCCAGTTCGTCCGCGAGCCCAGTGCTGAACGTGTTCCGCCTATACCGAAATCATATCAGCACTAGCACACTCGACGTACAGTATACGCACTGCTTCGACCTATTCAAGGTCACCACCAACACGGCCCCGTCGAGCGTAGGGATGAGTTCCTTAAAGTTGAGCGTCGCGTAGTCCATGTTACCGGTATGTAATCATTAATGTACAATGGATGCGAGTTTTATGTATGCACCGGGATCAGAGGTAGCCGGAGCGGATAGAAGAAGGGCGATATGACAGTGCCCGAGTAGGAATCAATCATATGGACGAGTCGGAGGAAGGATGATGATACGTAACGTCAAGTTTAGAGCGGAATGCCGGGCCGATCGCCAAACTTGTTGAACTTTTGACCTCCATCTTCATGGCCTGTCTATTCTCAGTGTTCATTTGATGCTGGTTACATCTTCTGCGCTCTTCCCGGGCAGCTGCTCAACTCTGCACGTCAAACACGAGGCGGCGACGGACAACAAAATCTGAACTAACCTTCACTCCCCACCTGATCTTCGGAGGCCTCTACATACGCTATTCAATCTTTCGGCATTTAGCGCCTCGCGATAGGTTTTAGTTCCTGTGAGATTCAGAACCCCCAACGAGTCTCTGTCCGCACCAGGTATGCCAGCTGTCTTACGGTTGTACATATTTCTAAATAATCTAACACCCAAAAATATAATCTTAACAGCGACTCCGAATCCTATGGCTCTGCCAGCTTAACCAGCCGTACTCGCCTTTTTGCCTCTATTCAACCAGACTGCTGCACAACGGGGAGTTAATGTTTAGTACAAAGCTGACTTTCTTGGGCCGCCGCATGCAGGCAGGTGGACTGTTACTTGTGTCGGTGAGTAGTAATCTTTCTCAAATCTTCATCACTCTCAATGTTCGTCTACTAGTCAATGGAATCGCGAAGGGTATGGGCTCCAGTGGCAATAAGCAGATCGCCAAGGAGAAAGCCGCGCGTGCCGCGTACTACAGCATGGGCTGGGATTAGATTCGATGTCTGCACAGCAGTAGTAACTGTCGGCCCTCCCAAATCATGAAGAAGAAACAATGATATTGATCTACATGGCCTCAAGCTTACTCTGAATGAGGACGGGCAATGAATCCAAGGTGAAGTTGGACGCCACTGGCTCGTCGACCAGTCATTCCCGAACTCGTCCCGAGCTATCAGGCCGACAGCAGCCACGTTACAGTCCAAGGAAACGAAGCAGGAGGCTGGCCGGGAACAAGAAGGCCCATGCACACTCATCGTCAAAGCCGTCCTTCTTCATCGTTGCCGACCGCAAATCAGCCCATGACACTTGGATCGCACTCGAGAACGAGTACGAGCCTGTCATCGCCATCATCATCGCACAACAGATCATTGAACTGCTGGGGTGTTCCGTCGCGGAAATATCCATATGCGCCATTTTGATCCTTGTTTGTTTTCAGCGGAACTCCACTGAACTCGTCCGTGAGAACCCAACCCTCTGCATCCTTCTTCGATACCCCAGTTCTTTCCCGTGTTCTTGGGCATCTTTCGGGCAGAGACAGCATCCTCAGCTCGTTTAAGGCGGG